CTATTCAGAGCAGCACGAGGCGTTGATTGGCAGACCGTTCGCTCATGGACCTGGTCAGCGGCCGCGTTTTGGCGCGTACGGTGTCGCTTTTATAAGGCACTGGCAATGATTAACTATAGGACTGGCGACTCCGTCAGGTAAGTCCTGGAAGTTCTGAAGCCAATGCTGTCTGTGCAGCGTATTCCTGCAGGTGAGAGAAAGTATGAAATTCGGAGCTCCTCTCATATTCAGATGCGTCACTGAAAACGGCTTAACGGCGTTGGAATCGGTTCCGGCTGACCTCGCTGAGTCCACCTCTTGTCTGGCCCAAAGCTCGTTCTTTCTAGGTACAGTTCAAGTTACTGCATTCACCTCGGTTTTTAGTCTGCTTGAGCGAGTCTCCTTGTTGAAGCACCCGTCTTCGTCTCCTAACCTCAAGTATTGACTACAATATTACCATTCTTTCGCTGGACCTTACCTTTCTCAGGTAGCCGTTTGATCTTTCTCATTGGACATCAAGGTTCTTCGTCAAAAACTCCAATCTGAACAATGTGCCGCCACACCTCTCATCTGGACTCGGACGAAAGTGCCCTGTTGGTTCACTTGGGTTTTCTGAAGGGCCAACTCTAGAAATCTTTTCAGTGGTCGATGCGAGCTCTTTGAGCAGATCTGAGAGTCCAAAGGCGATTGACTTTCTGGTTGACTACCTGGCTGTGATGCGCTTACTAGTTGGGTTGTCGACTACCCAGGACCAGCTCTGTGGGAGAACCTGAAGCCAAGCTTTACTGGCCACCAGAGACGTGTAGCGTTCCTCACAAGCAATTTCTTTAGCTTTTGGGGCTGTTCGGCAAGGCTGAGCTCAAACAGGTAATTCTGAGTCGAACCCTCCGTCCCAGAATTCTGGAGGGAGAAATAGTTGAAAGGCAAAGCATGTCCTGCTTCACTTGTGAGACCTTGTCCACTTTTGAACCTGACTGACCGTCGTTCGGTCTCTTCCGCTTTGCTTGTTGGAGCATACCCAACAAAAATGACAGACTGCAAAAACTTCCTCTGTGGGTCTTGTCACGATGTAACAATACCTGATACGACGCAGTTTCTCCTGGTCTGTATTGCTCATTCTAATCCTCGTGCGGGATCGTACTAATGTTTTCTCGACTACTCGCTGGTGACACCTCGACCAAGATCCTAATGCCCATTACTGCACAGGCTATTTTGCCTGACTGTGCGTTGTTCAAACAGCTCGTCATTCCTGTCCTCGCTACATGTGTATCTATCTTTTCGTGTGGATTTTTTGTTTGAATGAGAGATTGCCCAGTTGCATACTAGTTTGATATTGTCAAGCTGTAGAGGCGATCTTGCTCTGTAGGAAGAGGGCCAGCGTCAGGGCATGGCAACTGTTAGCCGCTTCATGCTTGGGCTTTCGGTGCTTGGGCCTCGTTCGCTTCGCTAGGACTGATTCTTAACACTGCTCAATTGTATGCTGTCGATCTGATATGCGGTCCTTGCAATCATAAGATTTTGGCAAGGATGATCCTCGTAAAGTGTACAATAGTATCAAAGGTAGTGGCGTCTATCCGAGCCAGGAAACGGCAAATTTAACCCCCAAGAAAAAGTAGCTTGCAGGATTCGAGGTTTGAACGGCATCTTTAAGTTAGTAAACTGGGACATGACATTGTTAGGGAGTGCTTATGGAATTATCATCTCGATGAATTGAAAGATCACGTTCGCTTGTCGGTTCGGCCGTGCCCGTTGAGCGAATGAAGATCGAGGCTGTCTCACCCTTCTCGTTCCGGAGGGGAATGACAGTGGCTAGCAGCCCCCAGACGCAACAGCGCGCAACCCTACAAGTTCTGGAAGAGAAATTCCAGTAATAGTCAATGATTGAATGGTCGCATAGAGGCAGGGGCTGCTACATGAAACCAGACAAGTTGAGTTTACCCTCATCAGGAAAACGGAATGATAATGTGGATTGAGATGCCCTTTCTATTTCCATAACGTGGTACAAGTCCCAACTTCTTTCAACAAGTTGGAACAAGACGCCCTTTCACCTTTCAATAAGGTGGAACAAGACGCCCTTCCCTTTTCATTAATGTCAATCAAGACCCCCTTCCTTTTCCACTTACGTCAATCAAGACGCCCTTTCCGACCTTATAACGTCGATCAAAACGCCCTTACTTTTCCAACAAGGTGAATAAAGACTTTCCTTCCTAACCCACTATTGTAAGATACCCATTTCTATTTAATACCGTTTGATCAAGACGCCCTTTCTTTTCCTGCCAGGCTGGCCCCACCGGTGAGCGCACGTGGGACGAGATCCGGCGGCAGAGCGAGCTGACCGCGCAGCTGTGCGCGATTGTGCGCGAGTGCAAGAGCGTGCGCGGCAACAATCAGAAGAAGATCGAGCGCCTCCGCTCGCTACTCTCCAGCCAGGGCCTGCTGGGCGAACTTACGCACTTCCAACAGGTGAGCGTGGTCGCCGACAATCACGTTAATCTCTATGTATACGGTTATACGGACGTATGAGTGATGTTTTGAGCTTTAACCCAGGGTCTTTGAATGGGCGGCGGTACGCGAAGCGGCGGGTAGGCAAACTCACGCACATCTCCGTGAAGGGTCTCCCTATATTCCTGCCCCGTTGATCCCCTGTGCGTCTTCCGCGTATTCACTCGTTGGTCTAGCTAAGCATTCCTTCGATCGGAGGGACGCAGTCAATCGGTGAGGATAGTCGCCATAAAAGGTTCTGGCCTACAGGGTCGGAATCTTTGTGGCTTCTCGCTGAGATTCTGGCCGTTTCACCGGACGTGCGAAGCACGTTACCTCCTTGTTAGTACCGTGCATCTACGTCCAATTTGAGTGACGGGGCGACTGGCTGGAGACAAGTCCTTGGGTGAAGAGCCCAAAGAAGACAATCGACGTGCAATGCTGGAATCAATTTCTTTGCAGTCGCTACTCCTCCCTCTTAGTCCGTCGCATCTACGTTCAGGTATCGTGGCTTGCGTGTGTCGGGTAGAGAAACAATTGCAACTTAGGATCAAAAGACGTACCCTCATAGCTTACATTTTAACAATTCCTGCAGTCACTACCTCTTCCCCTTAACCCGCGCATCTACGTTCAAGGCATCGTGGCGAGCGAATCGTCCATCTTCAAAAGCGCCCTCAGTCCGCTGCGGCTGACGTTCAAAACGGACCAGGGGGGCCGCGTGCGGATCATCTTCAAAAAGGGGGACGATCTGCGGCAGGATCAGCTGGTAAGGGACCCCCCCCGCTACGACCTTTTTTTGTATTCGTGGTGAAGCCATCCCTTGGCGGGAATCCTGCAATCCGACTGTTTGGAAGGGAAACCGCTGCGGAGAAATGCAGTGAAAGGGGAGAGGCGGTCAAATTGCCCCCGCGCTTTGAGGTGACTGCACCATATGTTTTGAGTGTTGAATCTGAGGGCCGCGGGCGAGCCAAAGCGTTGCGAATGGATCGACGTAGTCAATACTGGACACGTGGCAGCCCAGAAGACCCCCACGGGCAATAGGGTCAGCCTGAAGCAGAAGATGGACCTTCAGATCGTGCCGGACAATTCTGCGCTGTTTAAGATCAGCCATCAACATCGAGGCTGCCCAAACCTGTCTGCGCTTCGTCAGACATTTGCTAAGCTACGCTTTCTTTCATCCCCAGGTGATCCAGATGGTGTCACTAATGGATAGGCTGCTCAAGAAGGAGAACCTGGACCTCAAGTTGACACCATATCGGGTGCTGGCGACCAGCTCGGACGACGGCATGATGGAGTTCATACCGTCCGTCGCTCTAGCCACGGTGAGGCTCAACGAATTGCTGCAGCAATCAAAAGAGGCTGGGCTTTCAAATGCATATTGATCTTTTACCAGTACGCCATCTCGAACCCACTCTTGGCGCTGTAGTCTCGCAATGGCTTCATCGGCACCGTTACAAAGCACCGGAGAGTCGTCCTCTTCCGCTCATTTGCAGGGGCCGCTAGATTTATTGACCGCCTGCCTTCCGCCTCAGAGAGGGATATTGTATCAAAGCATGCAGCAGCGAAAAGTGCTCACGGACATCTGTAACGAGAGCGAAGCTGCACGCTTTGCAAGAGGGCGGCGCCTCGTGCTGTTCGAGGGTGTTAGCTTAACACTCGAAACACACGCATGAAGTGGTCGAAGCATTCATTCCCTCCGATCCTCTGCAGGTCTTGGCGGAGCACTACACTTTTACGGGTTACCTCAGGCCGCACGCACCTTGAGAGGACAAACCTCGTGCCCTTTATGCTTAGGGCAGGCGCTTGTTTGTCAATCATGTGAAGGAACCAGATCAAACCATTTTCCCCCCTCTTTCTCGTCCTCTGCAGGTTTGGCCGAGCACCGCATTCTGACGAGCTACCTCAAGCTGCACGCGCCGCATGAAAATCAATCTCTTTCATTGTTCTACGGACATCACTCGATTGTTAAGCACATTGAAGGATTAGATTGGAACTTTCCTCTGCAGGTTTTGGCGGAGCACCGCACTCTGACGGGCTGTCTCAAGCTGCACATACCGCAGGAAATCAACCCCTCTTTCGTTTCGTTACCAGCTGTCAAGCATATCGAGGAACAAGACCAGAACATTTTGCCTTCCTCTGCAGGTCTTGGCGGAGCACCGCACTCTGACGGGCTACCTCAAGCTGCACGCGCCGCAAGAGGACGGGCCGTTCGGCATCCAACCCGACGTTGTGGAAACGTTCGTCAAAAGCTGCGCGGGCTATTGCGTCATCATGTACATATTAGGAGTCGGCGATCGTCATCTAGATAACCTGATGCTGTGCACCGACGGCCGGCTGTTCCACATCGACTTCGGGTTCATCCTGGGGCGAGATCCGAAGCCGTTCCCCCTCCAATGAAGGTGAGTTTGCAGTGGAAGATGAGCGATGCTCCATGTCTTCGAAGTTTCGTGATGATTTGATGCTTTGCACTTTTGGGCGAAAGCTTCCACATCGACTTCGGGTTCATCCTGGGGCGAGATCCGAAGCCGTTCCCCCCTCCAATGAAAGTGAGCGGAAACCGCGAATGAAGATAGTCATGAGAGAGGCCCGTGTTTTTCCAATCGGTTCGACTTGGAGATGTAAGTCTGCTTTTGCGGGCGTGTCTCGCTTGGCGGCCTTGACGATACGTAGCTTTGCTGCTTTAAGCCGTTCCCGCCTTCAGTGGAGATGAGCAGAAACGGCGATGAAGAATGATCAGCGATGGTTGACCTTTTTAGCTTTCGTTCAACTCAGAGGTATGCGCTTTTTGTAGCGTTGCGGACGAGTCTCATTGGATGCACCGACGGTGCATCCGCTGCTCTCGGTTTAGATACGTGTCCTTCAGACGCTCTCTCAGTTACTTCAGAACACTATAAGGAGGTCGCCCAGCGCCCGTCTCAATGTTTGTCCGTTCTTCGCTTTTTGTTGTCCGTCTTCCGTTTTCCGCCGTGCTCGCTACCACCGTCACGTACAATTAAAACAGGCGTCAAGCGAGCTTAACAATCAGGTGAAATTTACCGCAATGGTCTTGGATTCGTAGGCATTCAAATTGGTATGCTCTCAATCGGTCACCAAGACTCTCTCACCTTGACTGCAATTTCTTTCCGAAAGCACAACGGGTTACTTTGATTGCAAGGCGGAAAAGTTACAATAGGACAGTAATGATTGGGTAGAATTTGCCTGTTCAATTCTGCTCTTTGCATCTGCAGCTGTGCAGTGAGATGGTGGAAGCAATGGGCGGGCAGAAAAGCCCGCACTTCTCAAGAGACTCGGAGAGGAAACAAATAACGACTTTGAGATGTCAACGAGATCCAGAACCTTAACCACGATTAAACCTCGTGTTTACAGCTTTGCAAAGAAATGGTGGAGGCTATGGGGGGCCAGGAGAGTCCTTACTGCTGAAAAGACTCAAAAAGAAAGAAACTCCAATGGCTGAGACAGTAACCTAACCCAAAAACCTGACCATGACCGACCAACGAGCCCCAGAACCTTAACCACGATTAAACCTCGTGTTTACAGCTGTGCAAAGAGATGGTCGAGGCGATGGGCGGGCAGGAGAGCCCGCACTACGCGCGCTTCAAGTCGTACTGCTGCGAGGCGTACAACATCCTGCGCAAGAACGCTAACCTGATTCTTAACCTGCTGCACCTCATGGCCGGGGCCAACATACCGGACATCGCAAACGACCCAGAAAAAGGGGTTCTGAAGGTGAGTAGATTGCTAACCTGATTCTTGATAAGAAGAGTCACTTGACCCGAGTGTTAACCTGCTGCACGTTATGGCCAGGCCAAGCACCCGGAAAGCGCAAACTACTTGGAAAAGCTGCGTTTTGAAGGGCACCTAAGAGGCGGCGATTGATCAAACTGATATGATTCGACTGTATCTCACCCATGTCCTTCTTGGAGTGATCATCCGTTACTTACTGCTTTTTGAGCGGAAAGACGGCAAGAGCTGTCGGATGAACGCGTGGCCCTGTCCAATCCTCAATTGGTCAAGGGGCATCTGATTTCTCGTCACCCCCTTCTTAAGTGCACGTGCTAGAACGGTTTTGACCGCGTGGGCAAAGACGACTACGTCATGTAGCATCTTTACCGACAGGATTCTGCTGATTCTGTCGGGTTTCCCTGCGTGCAGTTACAAGAGAAGTTCCGGCTCGACTTGGACGACGAAGAGGCTGTCCAGTACTTCCAGACGTTGATAAACGACAGTGTAAGCGCGCTCTTTCCACAGATGGTGGAGACGATCCATCGATGGGCACAATACTGGCGATAGGAGAAGAGCTTTGAGACGGTGCTTCGCATCTTCTTCAATCAAGTTCCTATCCAAATCCTGTCAATATCTGCTCGTTCCTCGATCTTAGTTCTGGCGATGGAAGTGTACAGAAGCGACTCGCAATCGCCCAAACTCTCACTATACATAACCAACGGCTTGTATCCGAAAGTTTCTGCTGACTAAGTGGCAGATAGGTGCTTAATGATTGGTGAGATGCCCGTATTGGAGTATGAGCAGTAGTGTCGGTTGGAGCCCGACTTTACAATTGTTGCTCAACTCAGACGCCATTATTGGGCGCGCCAGTCGGTGCCACTTCAAGTGCAGTCTAGATCCTAATCCGACGATGCGGCATATACCTAGAACGTTGCATTCCATGAGGTGAAACACGTCGCTTATGTAGCTTTACCGTACGATCAGCATGACCCGCTGACGGATCCTCAGTATCAGGGGCGCGCGTGCAATCTTGGACTCACTCGTGTGGCAATTTATAGTAAGTAGATTAACCGACATTGATTACAATCATGCACATGTGCCAGGTAATGCGTCATGTCCGGGCGGCCTCGTATAGCAAGTCACATCACGAACCTCGGAACTGACCGGGCCTTGTAGATCCTAATGACGAGCATGCATGCTACATGCCCGCCGCCTAGCAACTTCGAACAGATGAGGACCGTCGTATCATGCAACGTTACTAAGCGAACGTACGTCACTGCAGATTGCTGAAGGTCGGGGTCGAGTGCCATTAACCCAGTTCCTATTATTAAGGATCGTTGGAAAAGCTAGTTTGCCAATTGCAAGGACGCGTATACGTGACGAGTTAGGTCATCTTTCATGCAATAGCTCAGCATGGCGTGGAGCAGTGATGCATCAGCGGTGAGTTGTAAGAAGAGTGGGACCGAGTAAAAATGAGTTCATGCATGGTTGGTTGAGACGAAACCGATCACTTTGAAAGCTAGACGTGTTGAGGAAACCGATATCCATGTAGTTTAGGACGTGAATACTTGACTCAAGAGCAGCTTGGCAAGCAATGTCACATTTTTTGTGAATTATCATTTGTGTCAGTCTGCGTTTACCTATCTGTTTAAAAATTGATGCGCCATCTCTTCTTTTCTCAACTCTTCTACTCTTGCATTTGATTATTCTGCTCCCGCGCACCTCTGGGCCGATCCTATCCTACACAGATTTTTCATCTGATCGTTGCCAGTGCAACTCCGGTTTAGTAGACCCCATTAATCGAGTCCTGACGGTGACACGTGTACGGCTTGAAGCACTTGTTGATCCCTCACGTTTGACAATCTGCAGCTTGCAGCACTCTTGATCAACTAACTTTCATGCGCAACGCTGCAAGTACCTTGTGTGACAAATATATCTCTTAACCCTCATCCATAACCCGAGTACTTTTACACTGACCCACTCAGTAACCGACTGCTCTAAGGAAACCTGGTTTGGTAGGCGGTGGGCAGCAGCTTGGGCGCTTGACACAGGGCGGGGGTCGCCGCGCTTGACACTGCGTTGCAGCCGGTGGAGCCGTTGAAGACGGCCGCCTGGCCGAGTGTCAATACGGTGTTCTGCTGGAACAGCGCGATCGCCTTGTACAGGTTGGTCATCACGTCATTGGCCTCGACTGCGAAGAAAAAGCGAAAGAGGGTCGAAAACAGATGCGATGTGACCAGATTTGATCAGACGCCGACGAAGTTGCAAGACACGAACTAGCTTCGCAAGGCTCTTGGAAGATAGGAAACAAAACGAGACGCAAGAATCGTTGTCCCAAGATCATGCTATCTCGAGAAATATGGAAGTGAGCCGTGGCCGAGCGTTCTTTTCAAGCATTTCTTGTCGACATCGACCCTTGATTTACAGCCCACAAATCCCCTCACGAACCGCTTCACCCAAGCGCTGTCAAGAAAGCCACAACCTTTGCTCTGCCTTCCGCTTAGCCCTCACTATCGACCAGGCACTTTTTCACATTACTCAAATTCACAGTAACACCATTGCAGATCACACGATTGAGACGCGGCAGCCGAAATGCTATTGGGTTTGCTTCATTCTCGCCTGTTTGCCTATTCTTGCGGTCGACCGGATCCTTGCAGACCAGCAGACATTGATAAGCGGCAGTCAAAACGCTGTCGGGTTTGCGCAACCCTCACCTGTCTGCCTCTTCTTGAGGTCGACCAATCCCTTCGCGGTGCTCGAAGCCTTGGCGACTGAGGAGTTCAAAGACGACCATTGGGCGGCGGACAGAGTCGGAAGCGCGCCCGCGGCCGCGCCCGCGCGGTATGCGTACAGGGAGGTGTTGAAGTCCTTGTACAGGTTCGTGGTTAGGTTGCTAACCCGGGTTTCGTACTGGTGCTGCTGGGTGAGGGACTGGCGGGACGGGGCGTAAATGCCCTGCGACACGAGATGGAAGAATCGGGTTAGTCAAGTGGTCAGAAACGAACTCGTTTGACAAGAGACACCAAGATACAGATTGCGCGTTCAATCTTTTGGAGAAGGTAGGAGGAGCTAGAGAACCCACTTCTCGGAATCTGACATTCAACTCTGGTCTGCCTGTCGCGCTTTGCAGATCTTAGAATCAAAGGTCGCAACAAAGAAGAAGCTCAAGCTTAACGAGCACGTTGGCGATGTTCGAAGGTAGAGCTGGTTATCAGATTCGCAGATACTATAAAACAGTAGTTCCCTCCTGAAAGAAGTCTGAAAAGCCTTGATTACTCGCAAATCCCTCAACTGATATCTACTTGCGAAACGGTGTGAAATTGCGGAAGACGCACTTTGACAATTGTCTACTTGCGGAACCGTGAAAGTTGCAAAGACGCACCTGAGCAAAGATGAGGGCGACAAAGCCGCCGACGGCGACCAGAGTGAGCACCCAGGAGACGAACTGGGTTACGAAGATCTTCCAGTTGACGCCCTTGGCGCCCTCCAAAAGAGCGACACCGACGATAGCTCCCGTGATGCACTGGCTGGAAGAAGTGGGGAGACCGTACCTGCGCACAATCAACGGGCCACGTCAAATTTGCAGTTTGAAGGACACGAAGAAATAATGGGGATAAGGGGTAAAGCAGGCGAGAGATGCATAGTTGTGTGGAAACCTATTTGCACAAAGCTTCGAAAGGTTTCTAGAACGAATGCTACGTCCCAACCCATTTGCGGAAGGCTTCGAAGAGTGTACGGAAGGAGTCACGCTATGACCGCTTCTTGCGCAACCTTTCGGTTCCGAGACAAAAGTGACAAAAGGAAGTAGCCAAAGCGGAGTAGAGACTCCCAACCAAACCTTAACAACTGCTGAAAGTGATATAGGACTCCAAACTCGGAGTCCGGGAGACGGAATACTCACTGCGCAGCGAACATGATGGTGCCAGCTGTCGCCAGCTCAGCGCAGAAGCCGCGCGCGGGGGTGATCTTGGCCAGCTGCACTCCCATGGTCCGGGTTACGTTGTAACCGTAGGTCGCTAACCCGATAACCAGACCGGTCGCACCGATGATGACGACCCAGATTGGGGGGTCAACCTTCTTGGCTAGGAAACCGTCCCCGTAAACCTTCCAGATGGTGGTTAGGGGGCCGACCATGTAACCGACCTCGCCCGCGCCGTGCGCAAAGATGACGCAGATGGCGGAGAAGACCTGCCGGGCAAAACAAAGGAATGCGCGGATTAGTTCGCCGGAGGACAATTTCGTCGTCTGATGAAAGGCTTATGAAAGCGAAGCTGATCACACGAGGCACGAAGACACGTTTTGGCTGAACAGCCTCGTATTCTTTGAAAGCCAGAACCACCTGAGAAGGACATCTCTTGATCGTGCAGTGAGGCATTTGGCCTCCGTTTGGCATCCACCCGATACCAGAACCAAATAAAAGCTGCTGACGGCCACAACGCCCTCAGATTGAACCAACTGCCCGAACCGTCAGAAAGGCCCAGCTTTTGCGTTCCATCTCCCTAACCGAAGTCTGAACCCACTCCCCCGAACGATCAGAGGGGCCCACCTTTGATGCTCAGAAATTCCAAACCTTCTTCAAGATACTTTCAAGAAACGGGTCATTCCTGCATCTCCTCGATACCAAGTCGAAACCCACTCTCCCGAGGCTTTTAGAATTGCAACCTCTTGACTCTTGAAACAGCAACCCTTGACCCTCAGACAGCAGTCTTTGACCCTCAGTTACGAATCATTCCTGCAAGTCACAAATACAAAACTGCGGCGCAAAGTACGCACCTGGAGGTAGCCGAAGGCAAACTCGACGCGCTCCTCGAATACCTCAGCGCCCGAGTGAATCTTGTGCACGGCCGCGTCAGAGTCGATGATAGCGTGGATATTGTAGCTGGTTCCGTAAAGCGCGGCAGTCTTGGCCTTGCTGTACAGAGACTGGGGCTGCTCTTCCTCGCCCTCGGTCTTCTTGGCGGCTTCGATGTCCTCGAGGGGGATCTCCTTGTTGATGCGCTTGCCGTCGCTGCGGGAAGTGGGGGAACGTAGTAAGAAAGAGTGGTCGAGCGGAGGAAATGAGAACCAACTTTGTGGCGAAGCGACTGGAAAAGTAGCAACTGCATAAATTCCATGTACTGCTGCAGATGTAATTCTCGATTTGGCTTGCCTGGATTGATTGGTTCTCTGGCAAAAGGGCTGGCCCTAGCAAATACTTTCTTGCTTGAGGAGCACATCCCGTTTTTACTAGCTGTCACTCATCAGCAAGTGAAAGATCCACGTCATCTCAGTCAGAGAACTACTCCTTCAGATTCAAAAAATCTGCCTTTCTGCTGGCTGCCACTTTGTCAGCAAGGGCGAGTTCAACATCTCCTCTGAGGAGCTTCTCTTGGAAAATCACGCGCCAGGAAAAAGTAGAGATATGACAAGATTCTCGAGAAGCAGGGGTGGAGATGGTTTGTGAAAGCAGGTTTCGAGAAGCGGGGATAGAGATGGCTTTAAACCGGGAAAGGAGAAGAAGACTTACGCGTCGAAGTTGGAGTCGGCCCTCTTCTTCAGGACGGGGGTGAGAAGGGCCATAAGGATTGCAGCACCGCCCGCAATGCACGCAGAAACCCACACGGCCTTGGTGTCTGTCCAGCTGTCGTCACCGGTGCTCAGGGCCTTCTTGGCGCCCTGCAAAAAGGGGAGGAAGGCGCGCTTCAGTGATGGATCAAAGTAAAAAGCAGATATTCGGAGAAGGTGCAAAGCTTTCAGCTCCCATTTTATGCGGGTGTGAGTCCCTCACTGTCGCGCTGTCCAAGCTACTGGACGAGATGATTTCGCAAAAGTCTAGGTCCAACAAGAAAAGCAAGGGCTCAATAACAGCTGTCCTATCAAACCACATTCTGCGCCCGACAAAAAGCAGGGCTCGAAAACCTGAAGACGGTAACAGCTGTCATACCAGATTTTGCGCCCGACAAAAAGCAGGGCTCGAAAACCTGAAGATGGTAATAGCTGTCAACATCGGACTGCGTTGGCTTCCTTCTACACAAGCAGACCCTCACACCCTAGCAAACCCCAAACCCTCGCAAACCCTAAACCCTCGCAAACCCGAATTCCAAACCCACCTTGGTGAAGACAAAGTACATATTGACCCAGGTCGTGATGAGCACCAGCGGGGGGAACACCCAGAAGGCCAGGTTGTACGCGTTCTGCCTCCGAAGCACCAAAAAGCGAAGCGTAAAGAACAGGAGCGCGGCTACGGAACCGGTGAGAACCGGGGCAATGAACCAGGCGAGAATGATGGAGATCACGCCCTTGTAGGGGGGAAAGGCAACCTCCCCGGGGGCGGCCTTCTGGGCCCAGATGACTGCGTCGCTGCCCCCCCAGACGAGGGCGAAACCGACGATACCGCCAACTGCACAGTGGGGAGGTGGTTTGACACGAGCCTAAGGAGTTCGTTTCCTGCGAAGCCACCAGCGCTGTGACCGAGTCAGAAGCATATTGCGAAGGGGTTTCCAACCTCGCGCGCGACTGCAACCCAAAAATTGCCCCACGAAGAAGCTGTTTCAGGATTCTCCAGAGAATATGTAACTCTAGAATCCTAGGATCCAGAAAAGATAAGGCCTAGTTTACAATCTGCCAAACCCCAGAACAGGGTATGCAGGGTTTCCAAGCTCCACATTCATATTCTGTTAGTGTCAAGTACTCACTGATGGAGTGCGTGGCAGAGACGTTGACACCCATCTTGGAGGCGAGGCCCTGCCAGATGGTGCCCACGAGCAGGGCGCAGATCATGCCGTAAGCGTAAACCTCAGGATCCTCCAGGAAGGAGTTGATGTCAGCGATTCCGCCCGCGATTGTGTTAGTGGACACGCGACCGAGCAGGAGGGCGCCGCCGGCCTCGAAGATAGCGGCAATCTGTGAAGGAAAAAGTTAGGGGATTGTTAGCACGGACTCAACAGGTGGCACGCAATCAAAGACCCTAAGGTGGTAAAAGGTCGGGATTAAAAGCAAACTTAGCGATTAAAGTCGAAGATCAAAGCAGGTTCCAACATTTCAGAGCAAAGAACTTGGCCAGTGAAGGTGTGTTGAAAACCAGCACGGTCTATGTACAAACGAACAATCTGCTTGACAGCTGGCAGCGGTACTAAGAAGGCATTATTGTGAGCTACAAAGAGGGAGTTTGCCGTGGAACTTTCTTGGCATGCTAAATTGCTGCCCGCGCCAGCATGGACGAACAAAGCCTGGTCAAATATTGGAGCGTACAAAAACCTGTGTATTTCGCAAAACAAACTCTGAGGATGCTTGAGCTTGGGACTTACAACGACAGCTTGGCGGAGGGACAGAGTCTTGGCACCGACGGAGGTTCCGAAGGCGTTGGCAACATCGTTGGACCCTGCGAACAAAAGCGAATGATTAGACCTGCGGGGTAAGTGGTGGCACCTGTCTCTTTCTGACAGGCAGTTGGAAGATTTGGTAACCTGAAGGAATTCCTTCCTTTCACCAGCAAGAGACAGCTGTCACAGCTGTGAGTCAACATAATTACTGAGGCAGCACCCAAGGCGGCACATGGGCAGTTTGTTCAAACCCAAAAAAACCTGTGGGCAGTTCCGCTAAACCCCAAAGGAAGTTGGTCTTAACATGCCCAAAGTTTCAAGCCATCAGCGTGACATGCCTTTCTCCCACTAGACGCTGCAAACCACCCTGATCAATAGGTTGTCTATCCATTTGAGAAGCTGCCACGGACCCAGTAGACTTGTTTAACTGCCACTAACCCAAAGTGGGTAAAAAGCTCAAAGAAAAAGGAAAGAGTCTTACCTGTGGCCCACCCAAACCCGAAGGCCACAAAGGCCCCCACCACTACCATCCACAGGTACTGCTCCATTCCTGGGAACGCCAACATGGCTGCAGCTCTGCAAAGCGAAAGTTGGCAGTCAGCAGAAAGTGGTTGAAACAGAATGAAAGCCCTTTTGATGGGCAGAACTAAGGCACTTCATCTCTGAACACCTAATCCGCCTCAGCATGATGAGCAGCGCAGGACTTTTCTGAAATGCAAGCTGACTCAATGAACAAGCTCAGTTGAGATTGCGCGCTTTCAGGGTCATAATACTACTGCTGATCTTTGCTGTTGGCTACTGCACAGCCAATTTTCAACTTCTATCATCAGCCTCAGCGCAAGTTGTCTGTCCATCAACTGGCCAACTGGTCCGCCGCTAGTTGCCTTCTTCGAAAGGCCCAAGATTGTGATCCTCAACCACCCTCAGAACTTCTCAAGAACAGGTGATCAGCTGAAAGTAGTCAGCAGCGGTGCAGTTAACTCACCTTAGTCACCGCCTCTAGCAAGTTGCTTTGCTGCCAGCTGTGTAAACACCTGAGGAGCACGAGCGATGATGTGATGAGTGATGTGAACAAAGGGCTCTCACTTCAGCTTGGAAGGTGGCGCAAGGACTTGAGACTGAACACAGTGCGCTTGCTGATCCACTGCAATTTGCTTTTGAAGAGAAGTGGCGCCGTCTCTTTGGGTTTTATAGGAACCCTGTTTATTGACACAGTCAGCTACCTAGAATCTTTAAAAGGCTTCTTCAGGTTCTCTAAGAGAACCTAGTCAGCTAGGATTGATAGCTGCAAGGCTGCTTTGATCTTTTACCTGATACGCTTCCTGAACAAGATGAGAGCTGTGCAGTGAAGTCCGTTTGGAATCTGGGGATCGCAGTGTTTGCACTTTGGAGAACCGGACCATTCAACCGGTACCAAGCTGCGTGTGCGGTACTTGACTCTGGGCGCAGCTATGGGCTGGATATGCCGGTACGGTACTTACTGCAAACAGAGCTCATTTTTGACAGATTGGCCTCGGATGTCAGGGATGTACAATCAGGTATGTCGACAGAAGGAATATTTTAGGTCGAAAGTCACGAACGTCAGCATTTCGAGATTGCGGAGAAATATGTTGGTAGAAGTTATACTCTACGCGGAAGACAAAAACCCCACGAATATTTGATGAACTCGAGATCATCGAAGATACCGAGCTCAGATGATAATGAGACCGCCCACCTATGGACTCGTTTGGTTGGAAAAGGAATCTTTTCGGTCATGTCGACATGGATGTTGCCTTGTAAGTTTGTCGGATCTGCTCGCGGGGGACTCCGGAGTCCGAAGAAAATATTCCCGGCCGGACAAGTCGATCCGATATCCCCACCTGGCAGGTTCAAAGCACTGCAACTCACGCACTCACGGTACAAGCACAGGCACACACACACTCGATGCAACGAGTTGGCCAAGCCAACAGTCCGAGTACAACGTGATCGTAGAACGATCAAGAGATCAAGAGCCTTAATGGGAACGGAACGGGAACGGGCCGAAGCAAACGAGGGCATCCTGATTCTTGTCCGTCCGGTGGGATCGATCGACTGGACCGTAGACGCTCTAAGCCCTTCGGATGGATAAAAGAGACTGCCGGGACCCGGAAAGTGTAAACGGGAGTGTAAAGGTACGGTAGGCCGGTCTGCTCCCCGTAAACGAAGGGGTACCTACTGGCAGTGGGTAGTCCTGCAGTCCGACACAGAAGTGGGTTTCAAGCAAGGTACGGTACGTGACCCAGCGATGTTTGCCACCACAGCTTCGAGGCTCACCAGAAACTTCGATCGGCAATGTAGATGTTGCCCACGTTCAATTCCTAGTGCAATTGCCAGCGCGTCAATGGCCGCCGCGGGCCGTTCAAGTTGGGGATTGGATTTGTATGGTAACACCCTTACAGAGCTCCTCGACGTCCAACTATCGCTTCGGCTGCTCTTTGTAGGCCGTGATACCAGCGGCCCAGCCTAAGTTTTGGTTGCTCCGGTCTAGCCAAGCGCATGGTATCTCGATCCATCCGGAGTGACTTTTTATGCGTGCTCTGCCATTTTGCATGCGAACGTAGCTGCATAGATCCTCATGCAGGCCAAATTAACGTTTAGGTACATGATACCATTCTTTGGCATACAAGGGCGTTGAGCACGTCATGCATACAACCCCGCCGGGAGTCCGCAAGCGGACGTCATGGCAGTATGTTGGAAACGTAAGCTAGGAGACAACGAACTCAAAACTTTCATGGCCCAGTATACAAGACAAGCAAATTCCTCTGTCGCACTTCACCTAACCTTGATAACTACCCCCACCTGAACTTCGTTTCATCAACCTGTATTCAGCTAGCGGACCTGTGTTTCAGCATTGTTGCTCTATCAGAATGGAGCTTGCCGGACAGTACTTAACAACCCAGATTCATTACTAGTTGCTGATAAAATCTATCCATCCTCTTGCTTCCGTTTGACATACAGTAACTTGGAAGCCCTAGCATGTGTTGGAATAATGTGTCGTTCAAGAGCGCTTTACAATTACATCGAATGATTAATAAGAAACAACGAACCCAAATGTTCCTGCCCTCTACCAACGTAGTCCTTCGTGCATCCCAAAGAATGTGGAAACCTGCAAGCAAGCAACACAGACCAGTTGATTTGACGAAACAGAGACGATCCCAACCAAAAAATCTCACGCACGTGAGCCCTTTCGGGCCTGGATTGAAAGGGGCGAAAACGTTGGACCTGGTCGCCCTCCTGAAAGCCTAAACCTTTCTGGGTCGTCTAAAGTGCCAAACCTTCACCTTCAGCCGGGATTTCCCTTCTGAGTGCAACCCAACTTTCAAGATCTCAGCACTTGCCAGCAAACACGCCGCACGATCGGACACGGCAACCGCAAATTGCGAAGCTCAAATAACTCTACATTTTTTCTGCCATCGCGAAGCGACGCTTGGCCAGCTGTTATCACTTTCTTGTTGTGCGGTCCGGCAAACCGCGGCCTTTCCGTGTGCGGTCAGAGGCGGATGACAACCTTGCAACTAACCGAAATCATTGCAACATTTCAGAAGAGTTTGAGATCGAGACATTGAATCGGTCACGAAGATCTCACCAGATTGGAATACCACGTGCATGAGTCACATTCATCCTACATGCCACAAAGTGTGGGTAGACTCACCGCTTCCTCAGATGAGAATGTACAAAAAGAGCATAATGAATGCGGGCATGGTCAGTGTGCACGCCAGGTACGACCAGAAGAGAACGGCGGACGTCTCCTTCTCCCCCACGCCGTGCATCGTCGCCACTGTACCTGGAGAGCAAAAAGATGGCGGCAATATCAAGAACTCAACTTCAGAGGAAACATGGAACTAGCTCTCTGAGAGCATAATGCACGGTCTACCGAAAGCCTTGCGAAGCGGATGAGGCAGCCGAAAGCTGGAGGGTCCTACTTTGGTGTCTGGGTCTTCGGCGAAAGTGGAAGAGCCACTCAATCTCGATTCGAGTTCCAAAAGTTGAGTGGAGAAGAGACCTGGTTATGGCCAATATAGAGAAGCGACGTTCCCTTCTCAACACGCCGTATCCGTGCCTCGAAAATGATGTGATATTGAGGCGTAAAACATTCAAAGAGACTGGTTAGTCAACTTCTGGAAATGCGAGAGATACCAAGAAGTAAGGCTTTAGTTTCAAGGTTCCAGAAAAGAAGACGCGAACCTCGTCAGGGCATTTCCTGACGAGCCCAGAACTCCGGAAAGCCTCCTTACCTCTAGAGGTTGATTGCAGTGCACAGAGCAGATGAAGTAGCAACACAAATCAAAAAGAGGTTAAGCATGGCCACCAAGTTCGTCTCAGCGGAACTCGAAAGCGTGACGTGAGCAGCAGAAGACAGCGCTCACAGTAACGCCTGACCAAACCAGGAAGCCTCCTTACCTAGGTTAATTGCCGTTGGCATAGCGAATTGGAGCAGCAACACGAATCGGAAGAGCGGATCGGCGGGCGGCAGCAGCGCGAGCAGGTCCGCACACTTAACGACCGCGATGCCCAGCAGCGGCAGGAACACCAGCCGGACGCACCCGATCCCGACCATCGTCGGAACCTGCATTTCGGACGCCGTCGGACCTGCAGAAGTGGGTTAAACAAAACCGGGTTAGTCTTGATTACTCCTTTGACACTCATTTCAAAGTATTAAAAGCCGCATGAGCACCACAGAACGCACCCGATCCCGACCATCGTCGGAACCTGCATATCGGACGCCGTCGGACCTACAGAAATGGGTTAAGGAGGAAACGGGTTTTCCTCGAACGCTCGTTTTCAAGTAAAGCGGCCGAAACACCAGCCGGACGCCACCGAATTGACCATCGTCAGACCCCTGCATTTCGGACGCCGTTTGGACCTGCAGAAAATGGGTTACGCCCAAATAATGTGCAAGCACTCAAGGCACCCGAACACCAGCCGAACGCGCCCGATTTGAGCTTCCATTTCTAATCCCGCCAGGCCTACAGACGATGGGTTGAAGAGATAAGTTCCTCTAAACCACTCGTTCAATTGAAGCGGCACGAAGACCCGCCGGACGCACGTGATCCCGACCATCGTCGGAGCTTGCATTTTGGACGCCGCGAACCTGCAGAAAAGGGTCTAACAAAAGGAGTGCATAGTCGGAGCACTCTTTCGGATGAAGCAATGGAAATACGAGCCGGACGCGCTCAAGTTAAGCATTGTGCGGACGCTGACGGACTGTCGCGGGGGTCAGACATAAGTTCGGCTTGCACTTTGAGGGTATCGATGTGGCTCAGGAACTAGGCCATGTGGAACAGTGTCTACGAGAGGGGACCAACAAGCGGTGGCAACCCACGGGCAGCACTGACTAAGACCGTGGTCGAAGCCTGCATTCCGACCAGCAAAAAACGGATTCAGGAGCGGGGGCTATGTTGACTACTTTGGCGGCATAAGTGGCAGGAAATTGTAAGGGAGGAGTTTCTGGAACTGCACTCACGACCGCTGATATGCGGGCAGAGTGAACCGGGCAATGAGCCACGGAAAGCAATCGATCCTTCAGGTTGGATCGATGGACGTACAAATGAAGACCTCAGTAAGACCTTCCTACTGCCTATCCTGATTGCAACTAGCATCCGGCCAAGGTGAGAACAAATTGACCGATGAAGAAATTCAGTTGCTGGCAAGAAACGACAGCTTCCCTGTTTAGCCCTTGAATTGAGCAAGGCCGTCGGGCTTCTGCTGAAGCCTTTGGAAACACCAAATACGGAAGAATGGGCTAGACGAAGTCGAAACATGCGTGGCAGATGTTCATTTGAGACCAAAGGCAAGTTCCCCAGACAAACGATGATAGTTGGGCTGCTCACCCTCTGCTAGGTTCCCCCCCAGAACGAGCATCATGCACGGAATCATCGCGCCCCTGTAAACGCACAGACAGGCTTAATCTCTGATTCTATTCAGACTAGCCACCAGCTTAACCTGACAACCACCTTGCAAAGCAGGGGATAGACAAATCTTTTGCATCGATCTCGACTGCGCTAGTCAAACAGTTGTTTGCATCGAATCGAGAATCGCGCATTGTGACAAGTCTCCTCCACTATCTCGCTGGAGGCCACGTTGTTGGAAAGGGCGTTCACATTCAGGCTTAGGACGCCTTTCGCAGTGCAGCGCGCATGAAGGCTTCGAGTATCAGCTCGCAGAGCTTCCAACGTAGGCTTTACTACCATGCATTGTAAAGGGTCGCCCGTTGAAAGACACTCTGGTTTGAAGTTTCGGCGAACAGCAAACATCATTGACAGACGACGTTGGCCGGAAACCAAGAAACGGAGCGGCAACTAGTCTTTCCAAAGTCTCCCAAATCCACTACTCTTGCAATTGTCAACAGCACACCTTTGACTCTACCAGATAAATCACTCTTCAGCTCATGGGGCCGGTTGAGGCTTCGGCGTCACCTTGAACTTACGGACTACTTTCTGAGGTAAAGGACTCACGCTAAAGTGCTGATGACGTCAGTCAGTAGCTTGAGCCACGCATTCGCCCCAAAGAACACGTCCTGGAGAGGGTCGGTCCCGCCCACCACAATTGCACAGATCTGCACAGACCAAGCCCCGCGTTTCTTACGCAATCTTGCAGCACGGGTAGTCTTGAAAACAAGAGAAGTGGAGGCTCTGGAAGTGTCGTCATGATCTTTGACTTGGCGGCCGTCCGTCGGAGCCTTTACAGTGGGCATGATGTTCTGACGCATTGTATCTTCAGCAGTCCGAATTTCAGGACTCGAAAAATTCGGCAGCAAATGCTCTGAGGGTCTGTGCTCCAATGGCTCAAAGAGATTGCGTCTGTCATTCGTTCAGTTGTATGGGCTTTGATAGAATCGTCACGCATATACGACCAACAAAAAAGCGTGCAGCTTATTGAATTTCCAAACGCTGAAGCCTGTGATGTCGAAGCTGATACTACGGACTCCGGCGGGTCGCAAACGGACTCCAACCAAAACTATGCCGTCTCAGACAGGCAGGTCGTGGTTGCGACAACCCGAATCGAGCGTCAAGAGCTTATCCAGCCACCGAGGTTCATACCCGCACGCTCTCTCGTGACACAATCAAGTATTCTCGTGAGGAAAACCCCAACAGTAACCAATTTTGTCAGAACTTGACAACCGTCAGCTCCTCAGATGCTTCCTTTAGGTTCCCCCTCTGCATTTCGTCATCTTCAACTCATCTGCCACGCATGGCCAACGTACTTGTAGGGTGATAGATTCGCACCAACTTTGTCAGCGATTCTGTGAACAGAGGGCGCTCCCACACAAATGCATCCACCAACACCTTCCATACTTCCACTCTCTGCCTCGAACCAAAAACCGCTGCCTCAACTCGGACCTCCGCAACATAAGGGGTCCCTCGGGGAAAATATGAAAAGCAGAAGCTTTGTACTTACCACCCCGCAGACTGGCGGCGTGAACATCTTATCCCACTTCAGTTGCCTTAGCCACCGTTGACATGTCCCCCAGTGCTCCCTCCACCCCCGACTTTCTCCTGCCAAATCAACCCCCTCGCTGAACCCTGCCGGTGCCGATTCTCGCAAGCCCCCTGTTCTATCACTACTTCTATCGTGGCTACTTTGGCTTACCCCCCCGAATTCCGCCTCTGCTCCTGCCCCCCCTGCGGAAGAGTCCGACTGCAACAGACCTTTCGTAGCGGGGCTTTTGGCTCCTAGATTTGGATCGCCGTCCTCAAGGGTTGGGACTCGCGGAGTTTCGTGGGGAGAAAGGTTGAGCATCTCGTAGAGCTGGTGTTGCTCCCCGCTCTTCCCGGGGCTTTCTAGATAGTTGTAGATGAATGACCACATGACGATGACGGCCATCTGTGGGTAAGGGCATCGGCAGAGGTCAACCAGAGTGTAGGAAACTCAAACCCGAGTCACTTTTGGCCCTGCACTCCCTGAGGGAGTGCGGATGGCCGAATACTTCTTCATCTGGTCTTCAGATATGGGTTAGTATCTAAGGAGTAAATCGTTGATAACCTGGGATGGTTGGGGTTACTGAGGGGCTTTGAGTCCAGCTGCGACGAAGTAAATAGTTTGCAGTCTCCGTGTCCACAGATTGTAATGATAGAAGAGACACCTGGTTCGAGATTGCCAGTTGGAGAAAAACATGAATAATCAGCTGACGCCAGATTTCCAAGACAAACAGGGTCGAGATCGGTGGGCTCACCAGCATTCCGTATGACGTGTAAGCCACGCCTTGAGTGGAGCAATGCGCCCCAAATATTGATCCCGAGTTTGCGCAAATCGCAGTGATAAGAACCAGCGGCAGATTCCCCATGTTTCCGATGGTACAGCACGCAACTGTCGTCCTAACTAGGTGCGGAGGAGGTTTTGTGACGGCAACGACGAGGTGGCCGAGGCCGAATCCAATGACTGAGTTGAGGAGTACGCTGAAAGGCATAAACCTGCAGGATGGGGGCAGTGAAATTGGCACCCGCTACGGGTAAGGAGTCAATGAAGTGTCAGAGTCGACTTCGCTACCTCGCGGAGTGGCTCTTCTTGTAGCGAAGTCTCCGTTCAGTGCACAAAGCGACATTGAGCCGGAAATAGGATCCCTCCCAAAGCAAAGGACTCTGCGGCTGCGACTTTAAAAGCAGAAGACCAGGTCGGCACACACAATGATCAGGGCATCTTTTTCTTCTTGAATCATCTCAAGGTATAACTTTGATGGAAGTGGGGGCTGAAGATGGAAACAACGGCGCCACTGTTGGTGGACGCGAAAGCAAGAGTACCAAGCTCCCTAACAAAACATCAAAGGACACTTCTGTATGTCAAGGCTTTGATGTGCATGGACCCAGCTTGTAAGTAAGCTCCATGAACCAGATGAGCTGGTGGGACGCAAAAGAATGATCCTTCTCAGCTTGAAAAGGCTGCTCTTCCCAGGGTGAACAGAGGATTGGTGAAAATGAGATTGAAATCCCAAAGGCCAACAGCGTATGCTTGTGGAGAAGCCTTCCTTCCTTGCGTGAATGACGCTTGGTTTTCGGGTCCTCAAAAAGGAGCAGCAATTCAGCGTCAACTGGCATGCAGCAGAAACTGGCTGCTTACATCCTTTCGGTGTTAAACATTTGCCCGAAACTTAGAGCAAATTGGACTAGTCCAGTCAGTCCAATTAACATGTGGAAAGCAAGGGAGATAGCTTGTGCATGGAGAGAGTCTCAACGATATTCACCAGACATGCAAGCTGGCCAGTTCTCAGGGAAGTCACTTACCACCACTGAAGAAGCGTTTTGATGGTGACCGCCGGCCCCAAGTTGATGAAGACGAGTGCAGGGGTAAAGACCATAAACACCATATGGTTCATGTGCTTCCTTGCTTCTACAGGGAACTTATTCATCCGGTGGTTTGCTAGAAATGCTCCGACTAGGCACAGAAGCAGGACCTTCCCCACAGGATAGCAGGCCGTTCCAACAACGGCCCAGAACCCCATCGAGGTGGCCATCTTGTTCTCAGGCCCTATTGAACGTAAGGAGACGGTTCTACGTTCTGAAATCTTTCAGGAGAAGGCTTGGATACATTTCAAATAGGAGGAAGGAGTATCTACACTAACTTACTACAAATTTCAGAAGAGAAAGGCTCCTCTGGGGCTTTATTTTACCACGCATGAGCATGAAACCCTAATCTTCCCTGTTTGGCTGCATGGAAATTAGTAGCGTCCGATTCAAAGCTCATCCTTCAGATCTGGCCCAATGCTGCGAAATCTGTAAGCTGCTCTGGTTTGAGCAGCTCATGGCAGGGCAACCCTTCATAGCAGCGCTCTTCACCCCGCACACGCCTCCGTCCGCCATTGGCAGCCGCATATAGGGACTCTGCAGAGCTCTGGACATATGCCTGTTTGTGAGCAACGCTGCACGGCCCGCGTCTGAAGGTGGAGTCTGAACGGAACAGCGGAACGCCCGGAACGCATGTAGGTAGTTCCGGTCCAGTTCCCCTTCCGGCAAAATCGAAGAGCTCTTCCGTTCCGTGTTTCCGCTCATGCCTCATGAGGCTTCAGCCTCGCGAGCGCCTCGAGTTCAAGCAAGCAGATCGGAATGGCATTCGTGGAAGTTCAGCGCCAGAAGAGCGCCTCATTATTGGCCATCGGAGTCGGACGGCCCGACGTCCCCTGCAGCATCTGAACATTCTCACAACGAGGGTTAATCGGTAGAGGTGTTGCCAGACGCAATTCACAGCGTCGTGTTTGAAGAGCTTCATGATCTCATGCTTCACGTTTACCACAAAGAATGGCGGTCATTCTCCTTCCATTGTTGCTTCTCGTCCGGGCGTGGCAGGTCTCTTGCATAGATGCAGGTGAGTCAGCGGTCCTTTGGTTGTGCTGTACTTCAAGCATTGCAAGGGATCCCCCCTAAAAGTCAAGCATATTTGAATTGAGATCTCCAAGCATATTCAGTTTGCATATGGGATAATGTGTCCAGTACAATCGGGCATTGCTCAAGAAGCAAAGCATTGTGACCAGCCAAGAGATGCTTAACAGTGCAAGAAGAAAGACACGGGGATCAAGTGGTGGTAGGGCGGGGCTGCATCGTGTCCTTGCGGTTGCTGCTATATGAGAACGTATTGTGTTTTGTAACTCATACATTTCACGGCTCACAGACTTTTAAATTTCAAGACCCAGACATCCTGCATAAATGTTGCATTAGATACTGTATTGGTTTGTTGCATTGTGATTGTTCTGCCTTTCCTATCTCCTCCTCTCAGATTGTTAATTGCTCTAGGTAAAATCAGACCCTTCGTGGGGCATTCTGCTGTCACTCTCAACCGCTGGCCATGATTCAAACCCTAGAAGTTTGCCTAGTCTTTCGCCTGCTCACTCTGAGAGCAGAAGAGTGGCTATCAAACTTGTTCACTATTTTCCCCGTACTTTTGATTCCAACTATTCGTTCCCTGCAGGTTCCTTCTTGCAGGCAGGTGACTCAGCGATTGCGAGAGGGGAATGGACCGCCGCCATACAGCATTACAGCGCTTTTATAGGTGAGAGCAAGGGCCACCAAGATCCATCATGTGACGCCAATACACTTGTCTAAGATCATGCTCATGGTCACTTTTCAAACAGAGTTAGACAGCAGGGGAAGTAGGACCAAAGGCAAGTCCTAGACTCTTGGTGCGAAACGCTCACAGTCAGCAGATGATTAGCAGTATCACCTTGTGTTTAGACCTGTGTATAGACTTGTGTTGCTTGCGTATCGACGCCCCTCCACACAATATGCTCTGATCTGGCTTCCGATTCCTTCATAAGTGTACAGCAGTCACCTGACGGTTAAAGCTGTGTCTATGCCATGAACCAAGATAAGATGGTTGCGTGTGACCTCGACAACTATGCCAGCTATGGCAGCTGTACATAAGCAGTCTATATTCTTGTGCAGATGCGGATCCAAACACGGCGCTGGGTTACACCAAGCGAGCAGCAGCCCTGCTGCACCAGCGGAAGAACGGCGATGCGCTCAAGGATCTAGATAAAGCCGTCACTGTGGACACAAGTTTTGTGCAGGGGTTTCTGCATCGGGGCAAGCTGTTGCGGCAGGTTGGGAGGTGCGTGCGGAATCTTAAACCACAAGCTTCTCCAATGAACTTAACTCTTGGCAAGAGGTTGTTGAGCGCCGGGGCTTCTTGGTTGGCCCCTCCGTAACTTTCTGCAGCCCTTTCGTTAATTTCGTTTCCGGGCCCACTTTACACCCACTTTTGCTTGAGGACACCAATCTAACCCGTTTTCAAGAACCATCCTTCATCCAAATCCGATGAATCCGTTCTAGATTGGAAGACGTGTTGTTCCTGGTTGGCACTTTGTCAATCAATCCTCGAACCTTATTTCCTCACTGTACCGCCAAAGGACTGGAGACGTTCCGCTGCACTTTCGAAGCTGTAAGCGAAGGCCTTTTCGATCCCCTTTCAAATCCACTCTTTCAGGTTTGATGAAGCCATCCGGAACTTCACTCAAGTCTTGTCGTTGCGGCCCGGCCAGAAGGACTCCCCCACTCTTGTTTCTGCTCCGTGGAAGCTGTGACTAGATGCCTTTTCTATTGCGTCTCAAATCCGTCTTCTCAGATTCGATGAAGTCATCCGAGACTTCCAGCAAGTGTTGTCATTGCGGCCCGGGCCAAAGGACTCCCCCACTCTCGTGATGCTTTGTCGAAGCTGTGACTAGATGCCTTTCCCAATCTGTCTCAAATCCACTTCTCAGATTCGATGAAGCCATCCGAGACTTCACTCAAGTGTTGTCATTGCGGCCCGGCCACAAGGGCGCTTCTCAAGCGCTCTCCGAAACGGACGAGGCGCAAAAGAGCCTGGGCTATGCAGCAATCTTTCTCGACCGGGGAGACGCGGAGTCTGCACTGGGGCACCTGGATCGAGTTACGCTCGAGTACGCGCCGGAGTGCGTCGAGGTGAGTGCAGCGGCAATGTTTGCACCGTTGTTCGCACTCCAATTGGCTGATTACGACGTTGTGTGAAGAGATTGTACTCACAATGAGCCTTTGGACCTTTCAGTTGAATCTTACCGCAGAGAGTGCATCAAGTAACAGATTCTATTGGCAGCAACATGGCGCTTTCAGCTTTTAGCCTCGTTTTCTGCTGCCTGTTCCACACCGAAACGTGTTAAGAGAGTCTGGAGTAATAACAAAGTCTTATTTGCCATTATGAGAATGTCCGGGACTCTCTTAAGGAAGAGACTTGTACCAGTGGTCAGATTGTTGTTACATTGGCTTGCTGCAACTCTTTCATGGATCGGTGGGGGAGAACATCTGAAACAGATTGTGAGAAGCTGTAAAACCCGCGAAGCTGTTGGTGTGTGAAGTTCGACGATCGACGCTAGTGGTTCGAGAGTCCCAACGTTGATCTGGGACTCTTAAAATGATCGACAATTTTGCGAGTCCCGAAGCCGTTCTCTACCATCGTTACTCCCGAATCCCCGATATTTGAAAGTTCGCACTTCCAAGCCTGTAAAAGTATATCAATGTAACCTTTCCAATGTTGGTTCAACAACTTGAAAGCTAGCTTCAACTAACATCCTCCAGAAGGGACGGCTACTTGTAGGCCCCGATGCGTGTTAGATCGTCCATCTGCAAAGAACCAGCGAAGGATTTGACGATCTCAAGTTCTGGACAAAAAGAAGTTTGATCTCCCCGGCCATCGCGACTTACCAAAGGTCCTTTGAGGTTGTTCCGACCACCAGGGGAACATTCGGATCATGTTCCGTTTGGTTTGCGTGCCTTTTCGCTTCTCAAGTCTCCATCCTGTTCGCCCCCGTCTTCAGGCGCTGGTGATGAAGTCGCACATCTCTACGACAAGCGCGAATCTGACGGCCGCCGCTTCTTCTCGGACCTTATCGAGCACTGGTTTTGACGATCATCGGAACAACAAAAGACCCTTATCCGTTTTAACACTTTTGGTCACAGGTTCCACTGACTTTTCATCCTTTATGCTTCGTCTACAGGCCTTGATGATGAAGTCGCGCATCCTCTACGACAGACGCGACTTCGACGGGGTAGTGACCGAGATCGGGAAGGTACTAAAGGTGGAGGAGAACCATCTCGAGGCGCTCCTGCTGCGCGGACGGGGCTACTTCTACTTGGGCGACCACGATTTGGCCATCAGGTACGTTTGCAATCTCAGTCAGGCGCAATTGGTCGCCCCACTTTCTTTCGCGTTTGGAAGGCGGGGCCGCTGGTACCTGGGCAACAACGATTTGGCCTTCCGGTACGTTGTCGCTCTGAGTTTGCGGTAAATGGTCGCCCTGTTTGTTCTCGTCGGTCGAAGTGTATCGAGGTGAGCAAACGAAACTCGAGCAGGACTGCTTACCGTCTGGCGAGCATGCTCTGACACTTGGCCACATATTCCTCTTACCTTTTGCGTCCATGCTCGGTGGATTGATTGTGTGGTCAGCATTTTCTGCCGTCCTTCCTTATCCCGCCCTTTCGTTTTAGCTGTTGCCTCAGGGGCCATCCCCTTGTTTGGTCTTCCGCCAACTCATTGCACCGCGTTCGCACAAAGATGAGGCACCTCAAGCTGCTTGCTGTGCGGTGTGCTTTACTGCAGTGAATACCGATCTGCAGAATGTTCCGTGAGTACCTTCAGCACGGACTCCACTTCGATTCAGGTTGCATGAGTCAAACTTGGATAAAGCTGACGTCATCTGCGGTGGCGCTGACCCCTCCATCCGAGCGTAATTTCTTCTCCTGCAGGTGCCTTCAGGGGCGCCTCAGCGTCAGTTCCAAGCAATCCGAATTTGACGGGTAACGCAAGGCGAAGTTGACCAGTGGCGTCAGTAGCACCTGAAGCTGACGTCATCCTCCGTTTTTCGCAGGCACTTCCAGCGGGGCCTCCGCTCCGATCCCGACTTGAAGGAGGACAATCGGAAGGCGAAGCTGATGTCAGAGGCTTTCGAAGCTGACGTCATCCTCTTTTTCCGCAGGCACTCTCAGCCGGGACTCCTCTCCGATCCCGAGCACTCCGAGTTGAAGAGGTAAATCTGCAGGGCAAAGCTGACGTCAGGAGCGTTCGAAGCTGACATCATCCTCCTTTTTCGCAGATACTTCCAGCGGGGCCTTCGCTCCAATCCTGAGCACTCCGGGTAAGAGCGCAAGGCGAAGTTGACCTCAGTAACCTTTAAGCTGACAGCATCCTCCGTTTTTGCAGGCACTTTCAGCGGGGCCTCCGCTCCGATCCCGAGCACTCCGAGTTGAAGAAGGAGTATCGGAAGGCGAAGCTGCTCGACAAGAGAACAAAGGCCGCAGAGGAAGCATTTGCCGCAAACAAGTTCCGCGTTGCAATCGAAGAGTACCAGTCTGCGATCGAGGTCGATTCCAATCACACCCTCCACGTGAAGAAGCTCAGATTGGGTCTTTGCAAGAGCTTCGTAAAGCTGAGCAAAGGGCAGGATGCGTTACGGGAGTGTGGGGCGTTCTTGGAAATGGAGGAGGGAAGTCTAGAGGGTTTGTTGCAGCGGGCTGAGGCTAGGCTGCTCGTGGAAGATTTTGACGGCGCGGTCGCGGATTACAAGGCGGCCGTGCAGAAGAACCCGCAGGACCACGGGCTGAGGCAGGCGCTTATGAACGCGGAGCAAAAGCTGAAGATCAGCAAACGGAAGGACTATTATAAGATACTCGGGTTGAGTAAAATCGCGAGTGCGGTGGATATCAAAAAGGCGTATAAGCGGCTGGCGATCCAGTACCATCCAGGTAAGATGACAGGGTTACCCAAATAAAGTCGAACAAGCATCGGTACAAACAACGTTACTCTGAGCTTGGACTTGCTTTGTGCTTTGGAAAGATTTGACATCACCCAGCTGAGGTTGCATCGTATTTGCAGTGCTGTTGTTGGTCGTTCGACTTGGGCTTGAAAAAACTGACCCAGTAACATTTCTTGTTGACCTGACTTGCTCCCGCTGCTTCCCATTCAGTCATCTTCGTCTGCTTCCTTCCCACATGATTTTAATTTCGCAATCGTCGACTGAGTTGTTGATGTATTAGTTCTCTGTTCACGTCCTCTGCGAACTCAGGACATGAATGGCTGCTGTTCAGAGTGTTGGTTGTAGTTGTTGGACACGCATCTGACAAGCGGGTGGGCTTGGAGCATTACTGCAAGGTCACCGGGCGGCACACCAGATTTGACGTCTTCCAGATTACGAATCTCAAATGTTGGTACAACCCGCTTATGCCTTCGTCAAACGGAAAGCGAAATGGGGTCTGATTGTGATCGCTACGCCCTGCAGATAAGAACCCCGGCCAGCAAGAGGAGGCGTCGAGAAAGTTTCAAGAGGTGGCGGAAGCGTACGAGGTGAGATTAACGCTGCGACTCGGTCATATATGCCAGACAACTTCTATTTTTTGGGAGCCTAATGCGCCATCTCACGGGGGCAGCAAGCCGTATCGAAGTAAAGCCAGCCAGTACGCTATTGCATTGCTCTCCGTTTTGACTGAGCAGACTAAGCGAAGCGCCCTTTGAGCTCTTGCCCTGCCGGGAATCGCCCCCACACGGCCGTGCAGCTTGAGCATTCGTCTCCTTGCTCAGTCAGCTTTATTTCCTTCAACCGGACCTTGCCGATCACGTCACCCTCGAGATTCTGTTGCAGAAAAGTGTACTTATCGTTTGGTGCGGGCAGCTTTCGGTCAAGTGGGTGGACTGCTCAGAGCATGCCTTTGTCACACCGCTTGAAAAGTTGTAAACTTGTCAAATAGACCGTCCTTGTCGTGAAGGTCTTGGGCGATGAGGAGAAGAAAGGACGGTACGACCGAGGGGAGGACTTAGAGCCGCAACAAGGGCACCCTGGGGGACCGTTTGGCGGACCCTTCGGTGGGCCATTCGGAGGCGGTGGCGGTCAGCAATTCCATTTCCAATGGGGCTGATTACGGTCGCACATTTGACTTCCTGTGTGCTCTAGTTACTCTCACTTGTCTTGTTACACGAAAGTCGATTGAGACATTCTCTGAATGGACTGCCTTCGGAAGTACGAGGATTCGCTGGACAAGGGGATGCGTGTTGGCACTAGCGATGAGCTTGTGCCGACACAAAACAAATTCAAAAAATATTTGAATGAAATGGTTCGACTTGCTGGGTCAATCGGACTTCTTGTGAGATTTTGCGCCAATTGTGGTGGCAAATCAATTATGCACTGATGGTGGTGGCAATCGATGTCAAACTTTCGACTTTTGAGACGTGCAACACTGAAGCTCGGATAGTCCTCTTGCATAGCTAAGATTCTGATCATCATCATCTAGTCGGAAGACGTGCCTGGGAGCTTTTTGATAGTATCCCGGAGTCCCAAGACTGTCCCCATAGCCATGCCACAAGCTAGGACTTCTTGCGGGTGGGGGAAATTGGTCGACCATTTATGCACGCGTAGGCCCTGAGGTTGCACTGATGCAAGATATGGAAGGTACCTCCGCCGCCATTTCACGTATGCGGGCATTTGATTGCATGTGCAATCATTCTCAAGTCACTGACTGGCCGGTCAACGCATGCTGCAGCCCGCACACTATACCGTACTAAGCTGGCCAGCCAAGCACGCGCCGGCGCTTTACTGGCCGCACCTATAGATCGGATCTGATACTAATCAAGTAAGCACTGAGTGCAGTTGAGTCGACCATGAATGTTAGTACTCGGTATTAAGCAGTGGCGGCCAGCTACCTGCATGAGATCTCATATATTCGATCATATCTCATGCCATTTATGATATGATATGGCCTATACCGTGCCGCCAGTTTACTAGCCCGCGGTCCGACTCGAGCTTCCAAGTTTGTGAACTTTAGGATACACAAGCTTAAGATACAGCTTGCTTCCAAACATGCATCATGCAAGAAATTCGTTAATTGCGGCATGCAACAGGTAAGTCACGGTTCAACCATGAGTATACTTCTAGCCAGTACATTCAATCGTCTAAGTTCGCTTGGCGGCTCTGACTTCTACGTTGACCAGCAAAACGTCAATCGGTGTGAAGTTGCTACATGCGGCACGAAATGCATGGCGGCGGCGGCAGTATGATGATGAGAAATGTCGAGTCCAGCGCTTGACCTTTCCAACCTAGAAACGTCAAATGCAGAGCTAAATTTACTGAAAGCGGATGCAACGACTTGAAAGCCGTTTGATGATTTCAGTCTATTCCACTATTTGCAAATTCTCATTCGACCAGGAATGCATTATATTGATCTGGTCATTGAACACGCCTAACCATAGCCAGAAAGCTGTTGAGCCGAGAGACCGTACTTTACCCACTAAACATTCAGTTCTTCCAGTTGCGTCAGGACATCGGACACGCCCTCCCAGGCGAACTCTGCCCGGATGTCATCGTAATCACTAAAGCCGCCCCGAAGATCCGGGTTTCTCAGCATATCCACCATGATGTCCTTCATCCTAAGCCTGCTGAGCGGATCAAATGTTCGTCCAATCATGTCTTTCACGCCCTCCCAATACCTGCGGCTCATCTGATGTGGGGACACCAAGGGGGGAGTCAAGCAGGCAAAACTTACTTCGGGGGCACTCACGTCCGGCTCGCTTGGAGGCACAATGAGAGGTTGGAAAAGGTGGATAGATAGACCCTCTCTTTTCATGCTCACAAATTGCAAAATACTCTCCACCACCACACATGCTTCTAAGATGGGCTGGGGTCCTCTGAAGGACAGATAGAAGCGCGCAGAGGCCTCGTCAGCGACATAAAGCTGGACTTGTGGGAATTGCTTCCTGACTATCCGCGAAGTGACCTCGTCCCCGATTGTTGGGAAGTCTGCCGGTCTGGTGGTCCCCAGGTCGGCCCACTGCTTCTTGCTGCAGTCCGCATCCTGTCCAAACTTCTTCCTGAGTTTGTCCAAAACGTCCGGTTGAAGGACGTCCTGATGCTCACCTCTTTTCATGAAACCCTCAAAAATGTGATTGGTCATGCTTGCCCCCTCCAAGCTACAGCGAACAAAGACACCTGAGACAGAGTCCTCCTCAAAATGCTTAACTATCCGGTCCGCTTTCATCTCAAAGAGCTCTGGGAACAGCCGGCCACGTATTCCGGACTGGCGGTAAATTTCATTCCGGCGAACAAAGTCCGCAGCTTGCTCCAAGTCGGACAGGCGTTGCATCAGCATGTCAAAGACAGAGGCGATGGCGGGCTCCGCCACGCTGTGGTTTTCTGCCATAGCCTCTGGATTGCTCATCGCTTATGTCTAGTGCCAAAGGCCAATGCAGTGGAGGTTCAGAACTGAGCTTCTCCGCCACGGAGTACGCAGAATGTCAGAGCCTAGTCGTTTAAGCTCAGAAGCACCTCAGATTGCCTCCTTGCTGCGTTAAA